TCAATTGTCCTCATTTCATCAACTGCTTTCACCAACTTTCGAGTGGAAATTCTTAGAATCTCGTAGTGGGAAAGATCCTCCAACAGTTTGGCTCCACTCAATGTCCATTCTATGAGGGCGTCATCAATTATGCACAGACGCAGCAACTCGTGCATGATGGACGCGTTTCGTCTTCGATGGCGTTCAATTTCTGCGTGCCTGAGAATTCGTTCGTCGAGTCGTCGAAAATCGGTAGAAGACCCAGCTGCACGTCTTGATGGAGCTGTATGACAGGATGGCATCCTCGAATGCGCAGCATTGTCGTAATAGAAGGAGTGGACACGAACATCAACATCATCATCATCATCAGAACAGATACCGAAGGAATAGGAGTTGTTTATGTTGGAGAGTTTCTGCTTGCGACGGCTCTGATGGCGGTCATTCATCCTATTGCTGGCCATAGCAATTCAAATATGTGCCTCAACCTATATCAATTAGCATGGGTCCACTTAATCAACAGTGTCGTAATTGATTAATTTTAACAGATATCGGCTTTTATTTGCCTGAAATAATTACCGAATGTATTTTTGTATAAAATTTTTTTAAATTTTTATTAATAATTAAGTAAATATTTTTGTTTGATTTACTGCAAATTTTCACAAATACAGTTTTATTTTCTGCACTAACTTTTCGTCTCTTCTGCATTCGTTCAATAAATTGCAACTGATTAACCCTTTAAATTATTTTTAATGGTAAATTATTGCGTTTTCAAAAATAATATTTGTTGATTTGCATGTAGCAAATATGGTGAAAAATGTGTTAGCACAATTTTAAGATGTCTGTATCCGAATCCTGTGGACCAATCTGAGACCAGAGACATGAGGACCAATTAACAGCCAAATCCAGTACATACTTGTCACGAGAGATTGTGTGGGTTGTGACTAAGTTCCTCCCCCTACTTCTCTCTACCAAAACAAGTATTTTCCACCTTCCATCTCAGTCGTCTTCGCCTTTGGGGCAGCTGGACTATCCATGGGAGCCCTTCCATATATTGGAGAATCGGCGATGGAGATGAATGAGTATAGTCAATGCTTATTAGTGCAAATATTCACAACTATTCCGGCATAGTGTATTCAGACGGTCTTTGTTTTACAATTACACTCAATTTCTTCCTTTTACGATATATTTCACGTTATAATACTTTCCCCAATTATTGCTTTATTTCATTAAATATCTTTGATTTGAACATGTGAATCACAACTAGGTTGAAATAGATTCACATTGTTTGGAATAAGAGATCTCAAGTAATAGTGATTGAATTGTAAAGGAATGCTTCACCAGGGCTGACAAAAATCACATTCTGCGACGTGGTGTGAGGTGGACTTGTTACATCCAGGTGATCGGTCCACCACTTTGAGACAACTTGATATCTCACCTGTGGAATTGAGTAAAACCCCTCCAATAGCACTTGCGACACTACTCTAATATAACGTGGTAATGAATTGCATCGGCAAATACAACTGGAATCGAGAAATCACTTAAATCATTTAAATTAAATAAGCCAAATAAGTAAATGTTCCTACACAGCGTAAGGGTGTCAGAAGGCAGATGGGCTGGGGAAAAGTGATGGGGAGGAGGAAGCGAGTTGATCAGAATACCCCCTTAATCTCGAAGTGTTCGGAAAAGGTGTTTCAGTTGAAGGTGGAAGGGCTGGGAAGAGTGGTGGGGAGGGAGATGCACGTTGATTTATTTCATTGTTGTCAACATTCTTCTCTCAAAAGTGCTTCGAACATGCGATCCTATAATAGCATTAGGACTTTTGATTGGAAACCACGTACTGACCGAAATTTCTCACATGCATCCTACAAACCTACAAACCTATGATGTAGACATTTTCACAATTATGGAAGCTAACGTTTCGGATGACAAACTGAAGTACTACCAATTCCCAGGTTACACCCTGTACAATCTACCTAAATACCGGCAAGTTGCAAGTGGAATTCTAACTGGAGTAAAAGATGGCCTCACCTCGCACTACGACCAAATCAAGAGTATGGGCTCGACACAAGACAAATGTGAAATAATCAGATTAAATGTTTGGAAATGTCAAAACCACTTCAAGATATATGCAGTCTATAATCCACCCCAGAATTGTCCCAAATTTGACATTCTGAACATCTCACACAAAACCATAGTACAAGGAGACTTCAACGCCCACTCCACCAGATGGGACTACAAGGATACAAACATAGCTGGAAAGGAAATTGAAGACATGCTAAACAGCAACACTCTGGAACTTATTTACTGCAATGAGGATCCGGCTACATATTTGCTCTACAATGGAACCAGAACAACTCCTGATTTACTCTTGGCTTCAAGCGACATCAGTGAGCATACACACCGCAAAATAATTGACGATCCTGGTTCTGGTCACAAACCAGTCATTGCAAGTATTACCATCGGCAGCAAAAACATGTCAAGGAAAGTGCCAACTAAGCTATCATGGAACTTCAAGAAGGCTGACTGGCCTGGATTCACAAACCTTTTAGAGAATGAACTTCACACAAGTCCCCTCAACTTCAACCAACATCCTGAAAAACTTTGCACTGCTATCACGAATATTATGATCAGATGTGCAAAGAAAACTATTCCCCGAGGCAAGACAAAACNCTTTATGCAGATGATCTTGTTCTATGGTATTCCGCCCCTAAGAAAAACGTTAAGGAGAGGACAGAAAGTGCTCTTAATAGTGCACTTAAACTACTAGCAAACTGGTGTGACAACAATGGAATGGTAATTAACACCGCAAAAACTGCATTCCAAACATTTTCTTTGGCCCATCAGAGCATAAACCCGCTCTTAAGGTACAAGGATATTACCCTAGAAAAAACCAATGAGTTCACTTATCTCGGAATGACGTTTGACACAAAGCTAACGTGGAAAAGTCACATTGCTAAAATAGCAGAACGCGTCTCCAATAGACTGAATGTCCTGAAGCGTCTTGCTGGTAGTGTATGGGGCTGTGCGCGCTCAACTCTAAACACCACTTACAAGATGTTTATTCGGCCAATAATGTTGTATTGCTGTGAGCCACTCATTACAGCCACAGAGGTGACTCTCAAACCACTCGAGAAGGCACACAACCAAGCATTACGACTAATTACTGGAGGGATAAAATCAACACCCATTGATGCAATGCTCCTAGTTACAGGAAGCACCACAATATGTTCCCTTATCAAAGAAAAGGCCTTGATACTGTATGAGAAGCTACTGCGCATTCCCATGGACAAGTTCTTCAGCACCTATGAGAAAAGACCAAGACATCTGAAAACGCAATCTGGTCTAATACAGAAAGCCATAGAACTGAAGAAAGCATTACAAATCGATGATAAACCAAAAAGCCTCTCTCCCCCCATGAACCCATTAGCAGACATTGATGTAGTGTGTTGCACCCAACTGCTCGACTTCTTCAGGAAATCAAACACTCCTCCAGAGCAAATGCGCTCACTGGCCCTTGAGACAATCGATGTCAACTATCCTGCAGATCAATGGCTTCAAGTCTTCACTGATGGGTCATACATAGAAAGCCAAGCAAACGTTGGTGCAGGTGTCTATTCTGAACTCTTCTCTTTTTACGCAACAGCGGGACATAATAGATCCGCTTTTGAAGGAGAAATAGAGGCTATTAGGATAGCCCTATGCCAATTGTGTTGCCTGGATACGAAATTCATCAACTTCAATATCGGTATTATAAAGCCTTCATTAAAAATACACACAGCAATAAATGTTGCAATTCAATGATCTGAGACCCGGAATGGATATGTTTTGGAATGAAAGTGCTTATCAGCGAGTTTAGAGACTCATTATCATTTTGAGTTTCTGAACCCAAACATCGAGTCAATAACTCTTCTGATGATAAACGTCGAAGGATTTGTCAGCGAGTGGGCATGATGGAATGTAGCATAGACAATCGCAACTGCATTGTAATACAATTTTGAACCCGAGTCCGGGTTGGGCTGTTCTTGAAAATCTAATCTTGTTGTTGGATGTAGTACACGAACCAAACGAAGAAATTGCTGAAAAGAATGCGAAAAACTCTAAAACACAGCAGCCGTATTTATTATACATAATCACCTCTTCATCATTTGATTTTCTCAATTTTGCTGCCAATGCGCTCGTTAAACTAGTGTTTTCATTTTTCGTAAATCTATTGTCCTAAAAAATTAATATATATAACAGAACAAAAGTGCTTACTTAGAAATATAGATTCAATTAATCGAAGAAACTATTATGTCTTTGGTTCGATTAGTTGAAGCCCAGCCGGTTTGGATGCCAGCTTAGCAAAATATTTATTTCTCCGAGAATAATTTGAATTTTGGAAAATCCTCTCGTAGACATATTGATAAATAGTTAAACTATGAAAATATGAAAACACATAAAGTAGTTTTCTTTAATTCTGGACCAGAATACCCCTTGTGGGCCATGAGCTGAGCTACGCGATGCATTGGAATCCAGCTCTGTCTGAGTTCACAGACCGTCCCTCTTCACTGCCACGCAATAGTCCCCACCTGGTCTAACAAACCCGCCATTGTATTTCTATGGCCATGCTCTGTGACATCGCAATGAGCTCACATTATCACGTCCTAAAAACACTACAGTTACCACCATAGAGATCCGGTGTCTTAGCTAATCTTGAGAGCTTCAAACTAATTGTGAGAACTTGGCAAGTGATGGCTTATTAGAGTGACAGTCGGAAACAAATTGACAAAGTGTACGCTTTTAATTTATTCAAATTTTCAATTATTAAAATTCGTTTTAGTGACCTTGTTGTCATATTCAACTTAACATAATCACTAGCCAATTTCCTCATTGAATAAAAGTAACTACGAATTCAAATTTTCCACAATCGCACACAAAATAAAATTCACTTATTAAGACATTCAACAATGAATACGAAAAGACTTCTTCTAGAAAACATGCAACCATGCAGCTTACAGTTTATCCATACCAATGAAAGCAACTATCGACACCCTAACGCTGTGTAGGAACATGAATTTATTTGGCTTATTGAATTTAAATGATTTAAGTGATTTCTCGATTCCAGTTGTAATTATTGACGCAATTCATTATCACGTCGTATTGGAGTAGTGTCGCGAGGGCTAATGGAGGTGAAATATCAAGTTGTCGCAAAGTGGATGGACCGATCACCTGAATGTAACAAGTCCACCTCACACCACGTCGAAGAATGAGATTTTTGTCAGCCCTAGTGACGCATTCCTTTACAATTCAATCACTATTACTTGAGATCTCTTATTTCAAACAAAGTGAATCTATTTCAATCTAGTAGTGATTCACATGTTCAAATCAAAGATATTTAATGAAAAAAAGCAATAATTGGCGGAAGTATTATAATGTAAAATATTTCGTCAAAGGAAGAAATTGAGTGTAATGGAATAACAAAGACGGACTGAGAACATTATGTCGGAATAGTGGTGAATGTTTGCTTTAACGAGCATTGACTATACTCAGTCATCTCCATTGGCGATTCTCCAACATTTGGAAGGGCTCCCATGGATAGTCCAGCTGCAACTAAGGCAAAGAGGACTGAGATGGAAGGCGAAAAATAATTGTTTTGGTAGAGAGAAGTATAGAGGAGGAACTTAGTCACAACCCACACAATCTCTCATGACAAGCACGTACTGGATTTGGCTGTTAATTGGTCCTCCTATCTCTGGTCTCTGATTGGTTTATTGGATTCGATTTCAGACATCTT